GCTCCACAACTGGGAGGCTGCTTTCCCGGTGGACACATCGTCACCGGGCTCAAGACAAAGTAGACAGAGAACTGTTTTTCAAACAATGGAAACAGCAATCCAACGAGGCTACGAAACACTACAACAAGTAAGATTTCATTTCTCTGTTTGCATGGATTCTGCTGTGAACCACACTTTTCATTTTGCAAGTACCCCAGCTCAGGTGGAGATCATGCCGGCAAAGGTGCTTTATAGGTAAACTATTGGGCATGACTGGGCAAGCCAGTGTCTGAAAGAGGTTTTGCATGTACCTGACCTCGGGGGATCATCCCCTTACATATAAAATATGTAACGGTCTTGATACAATAGAGAACAGAGGTGATTTGATTAGTCTTTTCTGACATTAAAAACTACTGATGATGGTTTGTTTGTCCAAATCAAACTCCAGTTCCTATTTTTCCTGGTCTAATGATGTAAACCGTTGATCCATGTAAAACTTGATATACATATTTTAAATGTACATCTTTAGTTGCTTGATTGTGATTTTTATGATCATATTAACACTCATGTCTATTCATACATTTTAGGCTAATAAAAGATCCATATCTGATCTTCCTGTGAGACGAAGTCAGTGCAAAATTCAGATGTTTTCCACCTTTACTGCAGAGAAGATGACAGACAACAGTTGATACACAGTTTAACATGATGGACGAGAGGACACTATAGGACAGGGCTGCTGCTTTTAACTGTCTGCTGGGCAGGTGATGACCTAAAACTAACTTTTATTTGTGTCACCAGCTTATTTCACTTTGTTTTTTTTAAATGTCTTGACAGGTGTTGATGTTCATACTCTAAAATAATCTGAACCAGTGGTTAAAAGGCCTGTAGAATCCCACAGATTGACCTGTACAGCTTCTGCATTCACATTCAGCAGCTACTCTATGCATTGGATCAGTCAGGATCCTGGAAAAAAACTGGAGTGGGTTGCTTCGGTTGATGATGGGAGTGATTGCAGCAAAACGCACTCTCAGTCAGTTCAAGGCCGGTTTTCCATTTCCAGAGACAACAGCAGACCTGAATAGTATAGAGCAGACTAAACTGACCTCACAAAGACAAAACTAATCATAAAAGGGGAACATACTGTATATAATGACTGATCCGAATAATTTTGAAACTAAAGGCGTGACAAAAGGGTTTGAAATGGGGGACTCATTGAAGAAATTTAGGGGAACTCTAAAATATCATAAGATTTGGTGCTATTTTGGTAATATTTTCTGTATAAATTTATATTTTCCTATATTTGAGGTTATATTTAGGTTCTTGAAATAAAAGGGTGATAGTACAGCACCATTACACATTTTTTGCCTGTCCAGTGTGCACTGGCATTTTTATTGTTTCTCAGCAAAGGGTGATTAAAAACAATTGCAACAGTGAATAATTTTGTCCGGGCTCAATATTCTCTGTATGAATTTAAATGTATAGTAGGGTAGAGCAGAGGCGAAATTACCATTTTTCAGAAAAACCTGATTTTAAAAGATTATGTTGCAGACAATGAAATATTGTGGTCACTAACTCACAGGTGTGATCTATCAATATCAGGTGGTATTTTGTACAAATGTGGAACGACTTCCGTATAATTTCACTTTAAACGTAAGTGACACACGCAGGAGAGTTGAAACATGTTGACTACATGTTTTGTGTTTTCCTTGTTATTATATTATATATTATATTATTATATAAACGTGACTATGACTACTTATTAATATGTAACTGCAAATGTATTTTGTCCTTTATCTTTGCAAAAAATTTATGAATTACATTTTCTATCTATTTACAGTTTGTCAAATGTTCCAAGTAACCCAACCGTATACTTGCTCAAAATATTTTTTATTGGCAATGTCAATCCATTTTATAAAACATTTCTTCAACAATATGAACAATATTAAAATGAACATTCATAACATAATATAAATTCTCATAATAATGCAAATATAGTCATGTTTCTATCCAGCCTAATACCTATATACCTATACCTAATTCCAAAATGTGCATGAAAACATCTGGCTGAATCAACCTCTGTCTGTCTTTCTGACCCTCACTTTTGGCATAATCTGTTGGTATAATATAACATAAACATGTTTCTGCTGCAACACAGAGAAAGTCACCACATTAGCAGTGGGAAAAAGAAACACTTGTGGTCACTGTAGTGGGACGAAAGTAACACTTGATACTTTCGGCTATCTGGATTTCTGGATTGTTCCTTTGTGTTTGGATTGCCTTGCCTTTCATTTGGACATCCTGTAAGTGACTGTGACAAACCTGCAAACATATCCAGCCATTTCGGGTCCACACCTCTGTTTAGCCGCCATTGCACTCAGCCTATTTGATAGTAGCCAGGTGCCCCCACCCCCAAAAATAGGGCTCCCAAGACAGCCACGGTGTAATTTGAACGCTGTGTAACAAAGACAAACACCTCCAACTAGACTACAAATTAAACAAAACAGAACATTCAATCTATCAATTTAAACAGGTTGTAAAAATCATATCATATCACATCTGGTTAGAACAAGAGCTACATTACTCACTGATTACAAACGAGGCCATGTTTTAAGAGGATGGACACAGGTTCAGACTTTGCTGGTAGTTATGAGAAACCATAATGCCAACGTTAGCTATATTCAAACTTGTTTGATAAAACCTTGTTTGTAAATGTGTCACATCTGAACTAAGATTAACATTTTGAAGGTTTATTAAAATAAATGTGGGGACATATGGTACTCTGATATTTTTAATTTAATTTACTTGAATGTCTTTAATGTCGTTGCATTTTACGTACAACACAATTTGTAATTCAGACATTTTATGTAAATGAAAGCATGCAAACAAACTGACTTTGAGGAATGACTCATGAACACTGATTCTCTAGTTTCTCCAAACAATGAACTAAAAGCCAAGTGCAATCTAGTTCTCTTTGCTCTGTGAGGAGGAGTCAATGCAAAACTCAGATGTCTTCCACCTCTACTTATCTGACTGCAGAGAGGATGACAGAGAACAGTGGACACACAGTTTAACATGATGGACTATAGGACAGGACTGCTGCTTTTAACTGTCTGCTGGGCAGGTGAAGATATTCACTGATCTTGATCTGAAATATTGTCATTTGTGCCACCTATTTTACACATGACATGCATATCTTTTTTGGTTTGACAGGTGTTGATGGTCAGACTCTGACAGAATCTGAACCAGTGGTTAAAAGGCCTGGAGAATCCCACAGATTGACCTGTACAGCCTCTGGATTCACATTCAGCAGCTACCAAATGGCCTGGATCAGACAGGCTCCTGGAAAAGGACTGGAGTGGATTGCTTTTATCTATACTGATGGTAGCGGCACATTCTACTCGCAGTCAGTTCAAGGCCGGTTTACCATCTCCAGAGACAACAGCAGACAGCAGCTGTATCTGCAGATGAACAGTCTGAAGACTGAAGATTCTGCTGTTTATTATTGTGCTCGAGACTCACAGTGACTGGAGTTGGTTGAGCAGCTGTACAAAATCCTACAGTACTCATCTTTTGTGCTGATGGAGCCCAAGAATTAATTTTTTTCATAGTATTTATACACTCAAATTTTTTTTTTTTATTGTTGTTGTTGTATATGTTGCTTTATATACTATCATTATTATTATACTGATATTTTACATTACGTAAATACATATTTAAACATAAAAAACACAATAAAGTTATTTGCTACTTAAAAGACCAAAAAAACAACAACTAAACAATAAACATATAAAACTTCTTTATGAAACAGCAGCAGGACAAAAAATAAACCACTACAAATACTACACATCTCAACAAATTAAGACACAATACTGTAACTTATGTAGAATTTAAGTGAAAAATAATGTTGCAGTTTCTTTTATAAAATCACTAGAGGGCAGTCAGTGTCAAGTTGCTCTCTCCTCTGTTTCTAAAAGGAGACACTCAGATCTGCTGTTCTCATTGATCTTAACTGACTGACACTTGAACCCTGGACTGAACTAAAGCTTAACACTCCTGCTGCTCATGTACACTGGATACTGTGATAGTTGATACTTTTCTACTCTAAACAAAAGTCATGTTAACTTGACTTCAGTGTGAATATGAAAGTTTGACTATAAGGTGTTTACCATCATCAGTGACCGCAGCTCCATCTGTCAGTGTCAGTTCATCTCAGCAGACATGAAGTAGATCTCAAGATAAACAGCAGGAAGCCTGAAGTAGCTGCTCCACTAGAGTCTGTAAACACTGAAACTGTTAAATGTATTTCATGCAAACCTGCAGCAAAATTAAGTGTTGAAAGTTTTTTCATTCCAACTACTATTACTGTATTTTTCTTGTTATTGTAATGCTAATATTAATGAATGTTTTCCATTATCCATGACTCATGTCAATATTTATGTTAAATTAGTAAAAATGATCTTATCATTGTTGCAATTACTTAAAAATGTACATAATGGTTTAATATAAAATAGTTATTAATACAATACATTAAAGCATTAATAGTTCAAGTAAAAGCAAATAGTTGTTTAATTTCTGTAAATGCAGGAACATTTTCCAAATGTTACAATAGAGTGTATGATAAAACTAAAACATCATAAGCAGAGGCTATTTCCAGGCATGTTTTCACTCTGCAGATATAATAACAGTCAACAGACTCTTCTATTGGCTCCAGTTAGACCAACATTGATGCTTCATGTGTTTGATTCTATGCAAACTCAGTGACCTTCCTTGTTACTCAGCTATAAAAGCTTCCCATCAGGCTGTCAGTGGAGTTCACAGCACGTCACTTTCAACATAAACCATGTTTTCTGTAGCTCTGCTGCTGCTGTTGGCAGCTGGATGTGAGTCTCTCTGGATTTGTCAAAGTCAGCAGTTCTTCTTTTGCAGTATAACTTGATCATTTGTTACAAAACATTTTCTTTTTTGAACAGGTGTGAAGTGTGAACAGTTGACACAGCCAGCCTCTGTGACTGTGCAGCCAGGTCAACGTCTGACCATCACCTGTCAGGTCTCTTATTCTGTTAGCAGCTACTGGACAGCTTGGATCAGACAGCCTTCAGGGAAGGGACTGGAGTGGATTGGAAGTGCACGTGTTGGATACACTTCAAGCTACAAAGATTCCCTAAAGAACAAGTTCAGTATCTCCTTAGACTCTTCCAGCAACAGAGTGACTCTAAACGGACAGAATGTGCAGCCTGAAGACACTGCTGTGTATTACTGTGCCAGAGATCCACAATAACACAAACCATCAGCAGACCTGAACAAAAACCTCAGTGCCTGAACACTTGTAACATGAAGCCACCAGAGGAGGAGCCCTCAGACCACTAATGACTTCAATACCTGTTCATTGATACAGAGAGAAACAGACAGTAGTAAATTAGTACTAAAACGTATAACAAACATAGCATAGTTTAGCATAATAATAATAATAATAATAATAATAATGAGTGGAGGCATTTTCTAAAAAGTATCTAATTAATGACATCATTATTTCAGTGGACAATTTGTTTTAAAAAGCTCTTCATCTAACAAGAAATGAAACATAAACATTTACTTCTTATACCGCTTTTGCAACTTTTTATTAACATAAAATAAGACACATTACAGTGCATTAACTCTGACTAATGTTCAATTTGACCTATTCAATAAGATGGAAAAATATTCTAATAATCTTTGAATTATTCTTAATGTGTTAAAAGTGAACCGTGTGTGTCAGATATTTCTTTCAATAGAATGAAAATCAGATTAAGAGGGTTAGAAATAAAATATAATGTCACCTCATGTTTGTCGTGATGGAGTTGTGTGAGACAATTCATTAAGGAAGTTTCACATTTAGAATGCTTAAATCAAATTTATTTGGCTGGTGGTGTTGTAACTCGTACATTATTGTTTTAAAGTCCATATGAGGATTTGCTGGTGGCTCATCTTGAGAGAGAGAGCGAGAGGAGAGGGAGGGAGAGAGAGGGAAAGGGGTGTGTGAGTAGCCATTTCCTGTGAGCTAACTATTAAACATTAAACATTTTTAATTTTAAATTAAATTTAAAAAAGGAAAGTTTTTAATTCTGCTTTTTGTTTCATGAGAAATTCCACAAAAAGTATTGTTGTAGTTTTTACACTACTACACCACCATAGCCTACATTTTTCCTGTTGCGCACCCTCTAAAAGCAGTTTTTTTCTCTGAGTTTCTCAGCAGATGTAACTAGTGAGCCCTGCACTTCTTCACTCTAGTGAAAAACTTCCACACACCTACTAAGACGTGTGTGTGGCTGTAACATGATCTGTCTGTGCCGCTGTGCACACACGAGAAACACGGCGCAGCACAGCGTGTTTGTAACGTTCAATTTGATCAGCAGAAAATTGGATATTTGACACTGCTCAGGCCCAGTCGCTGGTCAGGGCCGATTAAACGAAAACCAGCCTATTTCAGTCATTTCAGCTGATCAATCAACGCTATTAAACAAGCTACCAAACAAGCTAAGTAATGTTATATTAACATAGTGGGCTTGTGGAAAAATAATCGGTTATAGTAATTTTTTGTCATGATTAATTTATTAATGACTCAGCATATATTAAAGAATCAGTTCATCCAATGTAATGTTTAAGTGAATAAAATAGCCCTGCCAGCCTACTTAACATAACTGGAGGTCCACACTAGGCTACTAAGGATTTGAACTGTGTTGTGTCGTTTAAAGAATGTTTCGTTCATTTGACCTAATCGTGTGACTCAGGAGGAACGAGTAGTCTGAGGGAGTGATTTGTTCATTTTCACGCATGTGTGAATTGGACTCTTACGTTCACTCGTCACACAGCAGCTGCATGGGCTCCGTCAGCACAGGAAACAGAATTGATTAGTTCACGACTCAACTGTGGGTCTCTGGGTTTGAGTCGTTTATTTGTCACATGACAGCTCGGCTACTGTGGAGCAGGAATTAACTAATTAACTTGTTCACCACTCACATGGGTCCTCCTCGGAGTCTGGCGTTCACTCGGCAGGCTGAGTTACTGCCAGCACCGGAGAATGAAAGAAAAGTCTGTAGTTAGGTAACATTTACTGGACTGACATCATATATCTGTTTTGTTAATTATGTGACATTTAACATTAATAAAGCATAATGTTTTTACAGTGCAGTGATGTTGATGAGGTCGTTTCCTCTCTAAAACAAACACACCCGGTCATTAAAACATTAAAACACAGCCACGTAGCAATGTTACGTGGCAAACTCATGTTTGTTTCTCTGTCTACAGAATCCGGACCTGATGAGGCCCATTCTGCGTCCAGACCTACCAAACTTCTGCGTTTATATTTTGTGTTTATTTCTATGTTCCTCTCTTTGTGCTGGAGTTCTTTTAAGAACTTGGTGGCTTTATCCAGATTATTATTAAAGTTGTTAAAGAGTGTGTTTTATTTATCTAGTGTGTCAAGCTTATTGCTTCAAAATATTCCCCACAAATCTGGTGTTAATATACAGATTTTACTCATGGAAAGGGACGTTAGGCTACTTTATGAATGAGCACTTCAGAGATATAAAGATAGTAATTATAATTATATATACATATATATGGCTGGTCTGGTAGTATACTCAGGAAAGATTGTGAAAATGGACAGATTTAGCCGGAGTAGTGGCTTAATTGAATATTGACAACATATTTCTGTGGTTTTTCCATGGTTTGAATTTGGTTGAGGCCACATGGGGCTTTATAGAAGGATGATAGAGAATGATCAAGAGGTGAATTTGTACATTATACTTTGTGCATTATACTGTCAATTAATGCAAGCCAGGCAGCCTTTCGTGTTTGAGAACTGTGCTGTTTTTTTTTTTTTAAATCACCCACTAGAGGGCTGCAGTGCCGCAATAACCAGCCTAGTTAAAATGAAAGAAATGAACAAAATTACACAAAATGAGTTCATTTTAATGAACGAGATTTGAGATTCAAGTGTGTCAAAAGAGTTACTTTTTCCATCACTAATTCGAACTTGTTTACTCCCACCAGACTCCTGTGAGGTAAAGCAGGCAGTAGACCACTGTGAGGCAAGGGAGGGGAGATTTTTCAAAACTTAAAATGCACTTTTATTGCCCTGTTTGGGCTTGTATTGTTTTACTACTTACACAGTTATTCTAAGTATATATCATTATATTATTAAATGGTTTTTGGAGGGGGACAAACCTCAGATGGGGGATCCTGACCCCCCGACCCATGATTCACTCTGCTGAGAAGGTGATTGGTTGCCACATTCCATCCCTCCAAGACCTGCACCCCTCCAGGACTCTGAAGCAAGCAGAGCGATTGTGACATGTTCATGTGTACCAATATAAGCACCAATACATACCAAGGCAAATTCCTCATATGTGAAAATGTACCTGGGAATAAACCTCATTCTAATTCTGATTCTGATACTGATTTGGTCCACTAATAAACTCGGCTAGATTTCTAGATATGAAAGCTACCCCATCCAAAATGGGATTAATGCCGTTTATCCTAATCAGATCAGGTCTTTCCCAGAAAGACGTTTACTAAATGTAGCACACTGGGAGAGAGCGCAGAAGAGCGAGAGAAAGAAGCCATCGCTAGATGCTAAGTTAAAGTACGGTAGCTAACATTAGCAAAACTGAATAGCGTGTAAACAAGAGAGAAAAAGGACAGATCTATGAATGCTTGAACAGAACTAGTGTAAGAGTAAATGTAAAGCGGAAAATTAGCTGCTGTAATGAAGAACCTACCAAGTTTAACTGGGTTGCACAGCAAAATACGCTACCAACACACGAACTCCAAAAACGTAAGTGAGTCAATAAGCTTACCACAGCACTTCAGCACATCCAGCCTAGCCAGACCATACCATCAGATGATGATGATACAAAAGGCTATTATCCAGGAAAATTCCCAAAACTTCTTTAGAATGTTATTTCTATTTTTATTTTATGTGCTTTATCTCCTGTCTAACGTTTCTCATCCCACTACTATTGTTTATAATTCACGTTAGATTGGGATTAACGTGTCTCAACACATTTCCCGATCAGTATGGCAACAATCTTATTCATAATTCAGAGCAGTCAATGATAAAAAAATATATTACTGTAACATTGCAGTGGGAGGGTACCTGATTTTCCAGCATTTTTTGTGACACCAGGTGTGTTTCATTCAACAGTTGTTTATGTGCATTTTGGATCGCATTAGAAAAACAACTTAATTTTCCAAAAAAGTTTTTACGCTCGCTTGAGGTGTTTTTTGGCTTTGTCGAAAAATATTTAATGCGCTAAATGGGAGATGGAAACACTATTGCTGCATAAGTTCTGACTTAAGTTTATACTGTCGGTGTCTTGCCAGATATTCCGATGACATGTGCAGAAATGGCAGGTAGCAACTTGGCCCCTTGAAACACATTTCTGAGGACCTCTCTCCATTTTTCTAAGATCAATGGCCATTGCTTCCATGCAACTGGTTTTGTGTATCTATTTTGAAACCCATATGTCTTGTTTATTACAGCCATGTGTAACGTCAACTACTGAAGTAACTACACCTGCCATAGCCTGGTCGCTCCAGCTGATGGAAACGCACTTACGTAAAACTTTGAATAATAGCCCGGGCTTTTATTTGCTAAAATCACAGAATTGACCCTGCCTATATTTGGGACAGGCGTCCATATGGGACAGGCCTTTAATTCATTTTGCACAAAGCAAACAGAATAATAGTTGTATAAAAATTATCAAATAATATCAATTACACGTAATTCATTTGATCTAGCTACGACAGACGGCTTGTACGCTTTTATTTTGAAGGCAGCAACTAACAAAACAACAACAGGGTGCAGAATGAGAGAAGTGCGGCAGAAGTTAGCAGACAGAGAGCGATTGACTTCACATGACAGGATTCATAACTTGGATTAATTTTTCTGTTTTGATTCTTTTGATCGGATCTTTTGATCAAGTGTTCAAACATCAGCAGCTAAAGCGGGCGACCCCGCAGGGTTTAAGAGGTTTAATACATCCAAAGAACCTCTATAAAAACCAGACCAGGGGTTTAATGGAGGGAGGCATTTATTTGT